CTGCTGAGTGGAAGTGGCCTGCTCGGAGGTAACGATACGGACTCTGGTGGCCTAGGGCAGGCTCCCCAAATCCTAATGCTTTCGAATATGTTGGACTACAACTCCCATCACCCCCTTAGCACGGTCACTGTAGTCGAGCATCACAGAGAGGGCTAGCCAGAGGGATGGGAAATAAGAACTCCCCCTTCTGATTTAACCTGCCAGAGATAGGATGTGGAGGATAGTGGAGCAGACAGCCATTAGCCAAGCAGCGCTTCCGTATATACAGGCTGGGTAATTTCACAATACAGTACTAAGCAATAGCCATAACAGGTTGGTTTGGCTGAAGGCTAATGTATAAATCCAGCCATTGTGTTTGTGAAGTTTAGTTTAGGGCACTGTTTCCTGAACTTTTTTCTTTCAGGACCCCTTCCCACTTAAAAAAATTAGGGAGGATCCCAAAAGAGCTTTTGTTTGTATGGGTTATATTTATCAATATTTACTGCATTAAAAATTTAAATTCATACATTCACTGCTGCTACTGCTTCTCACAATCGCTAGATGGGATTTTAATATTGTATTATTTTTCAGCATAGGCTGGCAAATATTTTTGATTTCATGGACACCTGAGAGGATCTTTAAGAAACACTGGTTTAGGGATTGGATGACCTGCAGACCCAGCAAATGGTTGCTTGTTCAGTCAATTCTGGTTCAGTCAATTCTGGCTTAGCACCCTGAGCATCTGCAAAAGCTTGTTGCTTTCATCAGGATGACAAAAACAGCATCATGTCATCACATGGCAAGCTCCACCCCCTTTCTTATAGGCATGTACTACCATATTGCCTATATAAAGCGGACAGAACTTCAGTTGTGACACAGCAATTTTGCTTTCATGCTTCACACACACACACACACACCCCAACACACCCCAACAACACCACTGCCACTACTCAGCACTATTATGAACCCAAGCTAGCTGTGCTAAGTTGCTGAAGGCAGACAAGGTGGGACAGCGCTGCCTTCATGCACTTCTACTTTTTCCTGAACTACTTTTGTGTTTCTTTTTGTTCTTAAAGAAGTTACACAACATAAATGTATATGGAGCAGAAATCTTAAATGCCCCTAGGGTATAGTCCTAAGAACAATTATTGGAAGTAAAGTCCTTTGAGCAAAGCTCTTCTGAGTAAACATGTGGGTTTGCATTCTTATAAACACTCTAGAATTCAAGTGGGGCTTGTTAAGAAATAAGCCTACCAAAATTTGGTATGGATCTTAATACATTTTAATCAAGTTATGGTCAGAAATGTGCTGTTACACAAAAGAAGAATGCAAACGTTCCAGTTCCCTTTTTTTATTTTATGGTTCTAACTGTGCCTGATTGTTGTATAACCAAGTCACTTAATTGTGAATCAGTCCTTTTGTGTAATATAATACACTTATGGTCCAGGAAGTACTGTCAAATAGAGAAAGTGGTCTCTTGGAGGTTACAAAAGTTGCCTCTAAGATGGAAGCAGTGATAATACTTCTCTAATGCTTCATAATATGCAGATCTTATGTCTCTATCAGACTGCAGTACAGCATTTTCTACTCTGCTTTTATATGAGTTAATAAACATGATTTCTGATTGGAAGGAAGTCCACCTAGAGCACTGATTTGTTCTGCACATAGCCTGGAATTGTACGGTTTGGACATTCTCAGTGCAAGGACGCAACAGAATTACCTGCTTCTGAGGAAAATGACTTAAAGTAGGTATCCCCAAAGCCTTTTATGGCATAAAAAATCATTTGTTCCCTAAATTCCTTTTTAAGATGATGGTTGCAGCTTGGATCAAACTTACATGGAGAGACTTAGCGTAAGCATGTTATTACGTTACTTTGTCAGCATATGCCAATAATTCTCAAATTAGCACCAGACTAGGAATTTCTGATTCTAGTCCTATTATAATATTGTAAAGCACTTCCTCCGTGTTTGTTATAGAGTACAAATCTCTAAAGTTACAAGCTCCAGGTCTGTAACAAAACACAATGTTTTTAAATTTATTTAATTTTAACCAGTTTATTTTTTTTTATTGTATTTAAATAGGCATTGCATTTTTTAAAAAACGTTGGGGGTGGGATTATTCATACAACATGATTAGCTGCACATGGGCAATATGTGACCACAGTTTACAGATTATCCCTCTTCATTATTGCAAACTTGTGTTACAAGAGAAGATCTTGATGGCATTTGTTTGTTTGTTTGTTTGTTTGTTTGACTTATATCCTGCTTTTTGTACAGGAGTTCAAGGTGCCATTCACAGTACTTCACCCTCCCTATTTGTCCTCACAATAGCAGCTCTGTGAATAGGTTGTGCTGAGAAAGAACAACTGGCCCAAAGCTGCCCAGTTATTGAGAATGGACTAGAAGCTGGGCCTGCCTGCTCCTAATCTAATTCCTTAACTTTTACAGCACACAGCTTCTCATGTTCATGTAATTTCTTTTTTAAAATACACTTTATTAAACAATAACACAGGTATGGATTAAAAGGTTGACAAAAAAAGGAGAAAAGTAATTGCATACACTATTCTTAGAATATCTTCAGAAGTTATAATCAGGCATTACCAGCTGCTTATAGAGACTCTTGTACTGTAGTTGGCAGGCAAGCCTTGCCAGCCACATCAGGACCAAAAACGCAGTGGTATTCAGTTTTTCATCAAAAGATATGCAAAACTGTATTCGTAGAGTTACCGACGTGTCTACTTTAGTCCTGAAAAGGAACTTGCATATAAAAGGTATTCAGACTGTAAATGAAAAGACCCGTTACGAACATAGCACGAGACCAATATGTCCAGCGTTCTGTCCCTTCTGTAGCCAACCAGATGACAGTAATATACCCACAAAGAGTATGTGAAGGCAGAATCATCCTCCCATACCTGTACCCAGTAACTGGCATCCACCTGCACTTTCTGATATTGAAATAAAGATTGATGCCAGTAGGTGATGCTTATGCACTTTTGTGGAGAGCTATCTTAAATGTTATGCAAATGCCACCAATCTAAATTTTCAGATATTTGTCTATAACTTTTTTCCCCTTTTCCTTCTCCATTTACTCCTCTTCCTTTCCATCTTAGGTTTTATATCACAGAAATCTGACTACTGTTGCTTTTTTCCTAGATATCCCATGCTGTCCCGCCATGTTAACAGGCTGGTTAGAGACTGGGTTTTCCACCGGAATCATCTGCAAAGACATCTCCAGAATACTCAAGCTTTTCAGTGCCTGAAGTGTGTGGAGTACTATTCTTGGGCTTGCTACCCACACTTGAACCTTCAAAATTTGGGGGGGAGTTGGAGGCTTCCCCTGTTTTGGAACTTGCAGCTTCCACCCAACCTCGGGCAAAACTATTCCATTCATTTTTGTACTGCAAAAATGAAATCTGAGGACTGTGAACCAATTTTTAAAAAAAGAAGACATGATGAAGAGCAGGGCATTAGTTGCAGTGATGAAAAAAAAATAAATGTATCTTCGTTAAATGAAAAGTCATCATCTCCGCTTAAAGAAGAAAGCACTCCAAAACCAAAAAGTAATGTGGCATTTTATTATCTTGGTCATTTGTTCTTAATATTAATAGGATATGGGTAATTAGTTGGAGTGTAAAGAGAGGATTTGAATAATCTAATTTATATGATTCCCCAACTCTTGGGTGACGAACAGAAGAAAAACATAACCCATAAAACCGTCCAAAACAAATCCCCCAAACCAAGAGCCCCCGTGAAAGTCTCAGATCATACACAATGCACATATACCCACATCAGAGCCCCATAACTAACATTCCAGCCTCAGTGCCTGGGGAAAGAACCAGGCCTTCACAGCCTTCCAAAAGGCCAACAGGGCTGGGGCCATCTGCATCTCTGTGGGGAGGTTCCATAGAGCAGGTGCAGGTGCCCATGAGAGAGAAAGTACACTTCCTGGGCCCACCAAGTAACAGTGCTTCATCAGGGGACCCAGAACATGCCCACTCTGCCAGATCTAGTGGGATAGGCAGAGATCAGTGGGGATTGATAGTCACGCAAGTAACCTGGTCCCTAATCCAAGACATTGAGCAAGACATTGAAATAGATAAGCTGTTGCCCCTTGGCCCCTGTAAGCCCCTGCTCTGTCCTACAAGGATACTTCCAGTTCTCAAATGATCTGTGGAATAGTTTGGAAATGCTCTGGTTCTTCAACCAAAAAGCTAATTCAGTGACCTTAGATCAGTCAACATCTCTCACTTTAATATACCTCTCAGGATTATTGTGAGAATAAAATAAGAAATGATGTACCTGAGTTCTTTGGAGGAACAATAGGATAGCATCTGATTTTAAAGTTCCATTTAGTTCCTCTCTTCATCAATTACACTGAATAGCATTTATTCAGATACTTTACTTAAAAAACTATTCATAATCATTTTTTTAATGTGTACATTTGCATTATGACCTCTCCCTCAAAGAATCTTAGTTGCTAGAGTCATGTGTGTAGATATCTCAGGACGTACTTTTTGGGGTCTCAGTATATGAAATTATTTTTTCTTTCTAAAATAAAGATACCCTGAGGAGTCATTCTGATAATCTTGCTATGAATAAATATTTCCAAGAATAAAGATGCTTCCACCTTTTTAAATGGGAGTCAGTGTTATTGCCTGTTTACTAGATTCCTTTCTTGATTGCCCATATTTTAGGTTAATGACTGGATTTACCTAATACTTGTAATTCTATTAGAAACCCTAGTTAATCATTTCTTTTTAACATTTGTTCTTCAGTTTAAGCATTTATTTGTATTCACACACACATAGGTATATAGATATACACACACACACACAAATACTTCTTGGGGTGACCCTCCATCAGTTACAGGAAAATAGTATTATAAAATAAAAAAATAATCAGCTTGGCATCTTCTAAATTTCTCTCTTGGTTATTGATCATACTGTTCCTGCTCTGCATCTAGCTCCAAATTTGAGTAGATTTATGTTAACATAGTAAGGTCTATAATTCATTTAAATTCAAAATATATTAATATAAACCTTGTTTCCATCCCTTGGTTTATTGTGTTTTGCCAGGTTTGATCAAGAGACATTGGGAATACTTTTGCCATCAAAGTGGAAAAACAAAGATTGTTGAAGACAAGATGCAGGTCAACAAAGATGATAAAGGCCCACAGGCAAAATTTGATTTTACTGTAATGTCATACAACATTCTTTCCCAGGATTTGTTAGAAGACAATTCCCACCTCTACAAACATTGCCAGCAGCAAATACTAGCTTGGAATTATCGCTTTCCCAACATTCTTGCAGACATCGAACAGCTTGATGCAGATGTAAGTAGAAAGCTGCCAGTAAGAAAACTTGTCATTGATACATGACATTTTTTACTGATAATAAATGAACACAAGTGCATTTCACATATTACAACTTTAAATAAAGTTGAACATATATATGGTATCATTTATTTATTTACTATTTTTATTTATTTAATTAGGTTTATATGGCCCCCTATCTTGCCATAGTGACTCTGGGTGGCTAACAACAGGTAAAATCTAATCTAATAAATAAGAATGCCCCATGGGCTCCAACTAACCTCCCACCCCCTATGCCTAGGAACACATCCAGGTCTTCAAGGCTTTTCAGAAAGCCAATAGAGTCAGAGCCAATCTAATCTCAGGAAGTATGGTGTCCCAAAGGACATTTAAAAGAGATAAGTGTTAGAGAAGTTCTAAGAGCACTGTCAAATCTGCCCTTAAAACGTGGGCTTTCTTCATGGCTCTTGACTTTTGCAGCACAGTGTTCACTTAGAGGTCAGTTGCTTTGAAAATATTTTTCTGGTGGAAGAACATTGATGAAGCCAATCCTTTGGCAGAAAAGCTGTGTTTTCTTAGCATTGTATGCTGCACTGAGCCTAGTAATATTTATATAAATGTGCATAGCATTGTGATCATAATCATCTGAAAGTCCCATTGCTTTCACTGGAAGAGCTACATGTATATTAAGCTACATGTATATTAAGTGAGACTTGGAAATTTTTAACTTTGCCTGGATTGTATCCAATCTGTTTCATCAATCCTTTACTTTAATGTTAAATTATCTGCATTCATTTTCGATTACCATATTACTTAGAATTCCAAATCACTTCTAAAATAGTCATAATAGTAAAGATAGGAGGTGACATCGATCTTTCGCTGTTGATCACCTGTTTCCCCACCCACAGGTACTTTGTTTGCAGGAGGTCCAAGAAGACCAATATGGAATAGAGATCAAGCCAAGCTTGGAAGCCTTAGGTATTATACATCTATTATATGTGTTTTTGTGAGTTATATGTAACCAAAAAACCAGCACACTAAAGCAGGATGCTGATTTACTTGGTTATAAAACAGTATATGGAGTAACCTTCCTTGGTTTACACCCCTTATTCTACTGCCATTTACCCTCAACCAAGTTTCAGCACTGAAAAGTGAGCAAATTGTAAGAAAGCAGCAGCACATAATAGGTTTTGCTCTCTTTCCTATCCCCCTCTAATAAACATAATAAATAACCCTATCCTATCCCACTTCAGCAAACCAACAAGTGCTTGTTAAATATGTGAACCTATATAATAGATTATTTTATATGCCATTAATTCTTCAGAAGTTGCTCATTGTGCCCAATCGTTCCTGCCTAATCATGATGCTATCACAATGTGCTGAATTCTCACATTGTGCTAACCCATAATTTCTTTATCCATGGTTTCTTAAATGAACTATAATGACCAGGTTCACATAGTACCCTAAGCCAGAATTAAACTGCATTACTGCTTAGTGTGATGCATAACTCTTGTTAATATGTTGTGCTGTAGTTCTTGGAAACCATGAAATGTATTTGTCCTTTTCTGTTTTTTTGCAGGCTATCATTGTGAATACAAAATGAGAACAGGAAGGAAGCCTGATGGCTGTGCCATTTGCTTCAAGACCTCCAAATTCAGACTTCTTTCATCCAATCCTGTGGAATTCTTCCGTCACAACATCCCACTTTTGGATAGAGATAATGTGGGGCTAGTCTTGCTCCTGCAGCCTCGGTTTTGCTGCAGAGCCCCCACAGCCATCTGTGTAGCCAACACTCACCTCCTGTATAATCCAAGACGGGGAGACATTAAACTAACCCAGTTAGCCATGCTCCTGGCAGAAATTACCAGTGTTGCCATTTGCGAAGATGGGCGTTTCTGTCCCCTTGTCATCTGTGGTGATTTCAATTCTGTCCCTCACTCTCCTCTGTACAATTTCTTGACAGAAGGAAAGCTGAATTATGAAGGTCTGGCAATAGGAAAAGTAAGTACCTGTTTGTGAAGCTGCTATGAAAACAAAGGTAGACAAACAAGTGTCCCTGAAAAGTAGTCAGCAACAACTATTAATTTCTTGCAATAAGTAGCTGGAACGGAGTAGGAGATTGCACTAAGGCCTGTGTGATGTGAAGGGCTTGTGATGAGGGAATGGAAGATTTCAGAGAAAACAAAAAAAATTGGGGAACCTCTCCCTCTCCCCGCCCCCCCATATATGGCTAAAAAGCCATGGAAATGGCTTCTTCCAGTGTTTCTGGGCCTTTCACCACCATCCCCAGGTTTTTCCCTTTCTAATGGAGTTAGTAAGCTTGTATAAGCTTTAAAGGTTGTATACTATGCCTCAGCTCATCTCAACATTTGCTTCTATGGCAAATACTCAGGACTGCCACAGTCAAGAGGACTGTATAAAGGACCATTTGAAAGAAGAACATGAGAATGACAACAGTGTATTAAGGGTTGGTCCAGTAACACCTAAGTACAGCTCTTAATTGTATGGATACCATCCTGAGTTCTTGGAGCAAAGCTGTGATACACAAGATTAAGACTGCATTTAATCCAAAGTAGGAACAGGATTAATAATCCCTTTTTCGTGAGGAGGTAATAACAAACATAGTTCCTTCACATAACAGTAATTTTCAGGATTCTTTGTGGGAAGCCATGATGGTTCCATTAAAGTGGAATTGAAGCCCTAACAATACCAACATGAAATACATTCTGATGTTTGGGCATTCTGAGTTTGAATGCAATAAATAATCTAAAAATTAGCCAGAGCATTCAAGTCAGAATTTAAATAATCATTAGAAAATGTTGATATGCATGTATGCAGATGCAGCAAAAGTAATTGTGTTATATATAAGCTATGTATATTACTTTTGTATTTATGCTTACAAAAAATCTTTTTGCTAACTTACCAAAAAAGTACAAACTAATCTTGGGATAGGAGTTCTTCAATACAGTAGATCAGAAGTTATCTAAACAAAAATCCTTTTTTTTATCCCTAAACAAAAATCTACAATTTTTCCAATAGTAGAAATAAACAGTTGAGTCTCTCAAGGATTTTTACATTCTAAAATATTGTAGTCAAGAATGAATATTAGGACAGCTAAGTTTATATGTGACACTCGTTATTCTAGTGGGTAAAACACAAAGCTATGAAGGATTGTTTTGAGAGACTAGACCTACATTATCATTTCTAAGAATATACCTATATCTTGTTTTGTTTTGAAGGTGTCTGGCCAGGAACAGTCCCCCAGGGGCAATAGGATACTTACGATTCCCATTTGGCCTCAAAGCCTTGGCATTTCTCAGGATTGCATGTACGAGGAGCAGCAAAAACGCCTAGTAAAAGAAAGAGGTAGAGTTTTTTGAGACCAGGGAATGGCTTTCTGAACATTCTGTTTCTCTCAAAGATGTTTGTAAGTGAACTTACTCCCAGTGTTAAAAGGTTGAATGTTTGTACAGGAGCCTAAAAAGCAAATTTAATAGAGCCAGGATTGCTATTCATGACTGTTATTTCCATTACTTAGCTCTAGGTATGGGCAACTTTTGGATAGAGTGGGAATGAAGTAGCCATAGCATTGTGTGAGTGTTCCTCAACATATTAGAATTTGTAGCTTCATGATAGAGTATCTGCCTTATATGCTGAAGACCATTGTATGGATTTTTGTTTTTTGTTTTTTTTAAGAATCAGGTGAAATTATGGAAAAAATCTACCTGAGATCTTGGAGAGCCACTGCCACAGAAACAAAATATTGTGTTGATCAGGGTTGGATAGAGTTTGAGAGTTAGGAGTGTCACTTAATATTTTGAGGGGGTCTGAGGGCCACAGCGTGGGTGGGCAATACTGGGATTTTATGAAAAATGTTGGGAATGGTCTTGTTTTTTAACTGTAATAATGCTTGGTGAAACGTCTAAGTAAGTTATATAATTTTATATAGTTCCTCACACACATACTCATGTCTTCCCGTAGTCTTGTACTGCAGTTTTCATGTATTTCCACCTTAAAATTTTATTTACATTTCATCTCACTTATTATATTTATTAGGCCACCCAACTACATTGTGATTCTGAATGGCATGCAACATTAAACAATTACAGATACAGTCAAAAGAGCAACAGGTATCCAGAAAAAAACCACCAGTCTCTGAAAAGAGCCATATAAAACATAAGGGGCCTGCCACCCACTCTAGCCTGGGGGAAGAGCCAGACTTTAAGGGATCTTTTAAACAACATCAGGGTGGGTGCCAAGGAAATCTCTGGGGGGATGTTGTCCCAGAGAGCAGGCATTATGGCAGAGAAGGTATACATCCTAGATCCCATCAGATGACACTATGTAATGAATGGGACCTGGACCACGCTGGCTGTGCCTGATCATGAGAAACCTCACCGTCAGGGCTCAGCAGTCATCATTAGACCTGCCTTCTGTTGCAACATGCAGCCCAGGGCCACAGGTGACCCATCCTTGAGTTAAGGGGACAGATAGATTTTAAGATGTAAAAGAGAAGCTTCCTATGTTCCAATGTTCAGGACTTAGATGCTATTTGTTTCCCTCGAAGGAAGTGATGTAACAATTATTCCAGAGAATTATAATTGATAATTGAGTCTCTGGAACAGACAGATGATTTAGATCTGTTCTATGTAGATGTTATTGCTCCTGCCATTTTTTTTTTGGGGGGGGGGGGAATTATTTATTTATTTTTCAAATTTATATATGCTTCCCATCTCAGTATACTAGTGACTCTAGGTGGTGTTACAAATAAAAAAAACTACAAAATCCTAGAAAAATACATAGGTTAAAAATTACAAAAGGTTAAAATTAAGCTAAAAAGGCCTTAAAGGGCAACACAATTGCTTGCATCTGTACCACCAGGGTAAAATGTGCTGTAACTTACAAGTACAAGTTTATTTGTATTTTTATCTTATGCCCAGTGGTATGTAAGCCTTCAATCTATTTTTCAAAGCTGTTCCTTTTGAGGTTGGCTTATAATAATTTAATGAAAGAGCTCAGATAGAGGACAAGGGTTTTGTTTTCTTTTCTTTTGTTTTCTTTTGTTTTCTTTTGTTTTCTTTTGTTTTCTTTTGTTTTCTTTTGTTTTCTTTTGTTTTGTATAAATTGACCTCTCCAATTAAAATGAACAAGTAGCAAGTGATGTGAAAAATTCTACCTGAGGGTCTGAAAAGGTGTCGTTCAACCAAATAGATACCACTGAGCTAACAGGTTCTGCTGTCAGGCAAGTGTTTATGTTCCTATCACCGGTATCTCTTTTTTCTAGAGAGTGAAGAGACTAAAGATACAAGTTTAGAACAGTCAGAGGAGATCCTAATAGTAGAAAAAAGGTAACGCTTGACAATTTTATATTAGTTTGCTTTTCAGTCATCAATCCTTGAAATACCCAGATTATGCTGGATTTTTATAAATGCAGAGCTTAAACTCTTCTTATTAAAGGCAAAACAATCCTAGAGGAGTCACTGAATGCAGACAAGAAGTTGTGTGGAAAGGGAAGGGAAAGTGGCACATTCATTCACCTTAATCGTCAAGAGTGATTTAACAGATTGTGTAAGTGTACTCAATATTATTGCACTGAAGCTGCAATGAAGGAAGAGTAAAAAGACAGGCTTTCTCTATGTTTCAAGTTTATTGCACTCTGACTAAAGAGTACGGAGTGTGCTTTTATGTAAAAATATTTGTGCTTTGCACCCAGGGATATATAAAACCTTCCATGCACAAACCAAACCATACATTGTTTCAGGTTATTTGTTTTCAGACTGAAATTCCACTATTTAGTTTTGAATACAGGTAGTCCTTGACTTATGACCACAATTGGGACTGGAATGTCCATCACTAAACAATGGGGTCTTTAAGTGAGTCATGCCTGATTTTATGACCTTTTTTGCCATGGTTGTTAAGTGAATCACATGGTCGTTAAGTGAATCCAGCTTCCCTCATTGACTTTGCTTGTCAGGAGCCCCCTGGGAAGGTTGCAAACGGGGACCACATGGCCCTGGGATGCTGCAACCATTGTAAATACATGCCAGTTGCCAAGCACCCAAATTTTGATCACATGACCATGGGGACACTGCAATGGTCGTAAATGCAAGGACTGGTTGTAAATCACTTTTTTCAGCACTGTCATAATTCGAACAGTCATTAAATGAATGGTCATAAGCTGAGGACTACCTTTATGGACTGAAATGTAGCTGTTCTAGGTAGAATGTTTTCAACAAAAAATGTTCCATTCTGTTTTAGCTACTTGAATTGGAAGTCATCTTGACTCTCATAATGGGTGCTCTTATGTTTTGAATTCTCCTGTCTAGGCTAGTATAGTAGGAGGGACCTGTCAGGTTCTTATTGCTGTTGGCTTTGGTGGGGGGTGGTGATCTGAGTACAGTTTTGGAATGAAGCAGTTGGCATTAAAGGAGTGCATGGCACAGAGGAAGCCATTCTGGTCTACCTGCCACTGAAAAGAGGCTGACTGAGGATTAAGGCTTTGTTACAGAGGAACAAATTGCTGCAAGAAATCACTGATCTCAGTGCTAGACTGGGGCTTCTTAAGAAGTGAGGGTGACTAGCTGTAAGTATCTGATTGCCTGCCTGCCACTGAGGCAACCACTACCGCCTCAAATCCACTTAATTTTTCCATTTTTAGTTTCACTTTTGATTCAGTATAGTTGGGTGAGTGGTAGTTTTGGTTAGATAGACCTCCATTCCTTTGCTTTTCAAAACTTTCCCTTACTAAAAAAAACTCCCCAAAATAAGTCCTGTTTGTTTATTTGGGGGAATTAATTTTCCCAGTTAGTTTTGCATGTGTGTACTAGTACTGATAGCACTGCTACTTGCTATGTGCACATATTAAATAAAACTATTTCTTTTAAGAGGCTTAGCTTTAAGTCTTCTCCCATGGGCATATTATGAGCCCAAGAGCAGCATGTTATAAGAACATTTGAAGCTTGTGTTGTAAGATCTATATTATGCTGTCTGCAATCATTGCAAGGCATGGGAAAGAACACCGGGCATCTTTCAAGCCTGGGGATCCAGTTGTCTTTCCCACTTCTGGCAGCCCATCTTGTTCACTAACAGCAAGGCGCCTACCTTTAAAGAGAACAAGGTGCCTGCACAGGGTTTGAAGCAGGTATCAGGTAGAAAGCAGCAAAGTGACCCCAAAACATCAGACATGCTATTGTGTAGATTAGGGCTTTAAACACTGGCCATTCAGCGTGGTGGAGGACGCTGGATTCTGGCATGACTCCTTCACCATCCACCTTTCGCATTCATGGGAATGGGATGAGAATGAGGGGATGTCTGCTGCTGTAGGCCCCACTACTGCTCATGATGTAGGACCCAGGCAAAGATGGGTGCTGTGGTGCTAGATGTCACTCACATAGTACAGTATATGTGGGAAGCATAGCCATGAACTACATGGTTGAGAGCAGGCTGAGCAGCCAAATCCTAGCCATGACTTTATGGTCATGGACATTGGACCCAACATGTAAAAGGAAACCTATCAAACATATTTTGTTGGCAGCAACTGCATTCTCGCAAGCTCATCTGATTGCATGGAATGGTGTTGGTCTGGAGGAGGTCGTCATCAGGATCATCCCAGCTGACTCCAAGGTTGCTATCAATGCTGTTGTATAAAAGTACCATAAGCCTCTTGGTTATTTTCACAAGAATATGAAAAGGAAGGAAATGGTAGACTAGCACCAGGCCGAGCTTCATCTGTTTCAACACCTGATCAGGATGTCTCCACCTGGTGGAATTCCAGCTCTTCTCTTCCTTAAGGCAGAGAGCTAGGTTCTGTCCTTGATTCTTGGGTGAACTATAGGAGAAGCTGGGCTCTGAGAATGGCAGAACCTTGGCATCCTAACTTCACATTGGGATTGTCCAGTACTGAAGTATTTGAGTTTTGAGTAAGCATTCATACTTGCAAACCTGTTTGACCTAAGGCAGCAAAAGCAATTATTCATCCCCAATGAAGAGAGCTCCTGGTTGCAGAAGTGGCTCAGGTTGAGGACAGAAGATAAGGCTACAGCTAGGACAAGTTGTTGGCTCACCACAGAGATGTTACCAGGGTGAAGAAAGGTGTTGTCTGCTAGTTCAGTACACTCAGTATACTACCTGAGTGAACTAGAGGAAAAGGAGGAGATGGACCCATTCCAGTTTTGAGCCAATGCCAAGGTCTGGCCAGGAGGAAGTCATGCTGGGATGAGTCCCTGGCTCATGACACCTGAGAAATGCATACTAAATGAGGCCCACGTAGCTGACCTGGCAGCCCCTTTCATTCCTTGAGCAACCACTGAGTGAGGTTCACTCTGGAAAAGACTCCATTGAGTTTCTTTAGCACATGCACCAGGTGAGTTGTAGTGGGATTCATCTATCCCTCCCATGTTCCCCATCTTCCCACAACCCCACTCCCTTGACCACCTGCCTTCATACATGGCTAGTGATGATGTTGGGCTCCCTCCCTGACTCAGTGGGATTAAACAATGCATTGGCTCGGATACATCCACTCAGGGCAAACATGCACGTAGCAGGGAGATAACTCTCTGGCCCACAGTTACTGTTATGTTTTTTTCCCCAAAAACATGCTCTTGTTGGCTTGCTTTGTTTTGGTTGGCACTTTTAAAGCTTTTGATTTTGAGTGTGTTTCAAAAGCAAAGAATAACTTTGCTTGGTTTTTTACTCTGATACTGCTAATTGCCTTCTCTTCCACCCTGTTGTTTATGGAAACTTCAGAATAAGTTTAAGAATGCAAAAAGACTCTGCAGATTGGCCTGCTAAGCTTAAGTGTGTGCAATGTGTGTACACACTTGATACTGGTTGACGTTGAGATTCATGATGTGTATGCAGTCAGTGTGCAATCTTCAGAGACACTGAAAGGTCCGTTGTTGACAAGACAAACATTCACAGAATATACATGCATGCCTAAGTTAATACATTGTCATCAACCTTGTCTTTTTATTTTCAAAAATACTGTGATGATGGCTTGCTTTGGAATGATTGGTTCTTGTGGATTTTTTTAGTAAGATGTTCTTCATTCATCCTTGCACTCTGTACATTGCATTCTCTTGTGGCCTTTTGTTTGTGAAGATTTCAGAGCACATTAAACATGCAAAATACAGTGCTTGTTAGCATATCAAGCTTAGTGTGTGTGTGTGCATGTACCTGCACTCTTTTCATGCTTTTATGCATTATTTATGCTGTCTGTCGTGCATTTTGCTGCAAACATATGTTTGAATTTGTTGGCGTGACCTGTTTTCTGCTGGTTTTCGGTCCCTTCAAGTATAAAAACAAGTGCTTTTGCTGAAGAGTGTGTGTGATTACTCTTTTGTTTTATGTGAAATAAGTAATGATGTAAATGTGATTTACATTTAGGATGTAAATGCTGGGAGCTAAGCAGCCCTCGGGCAGCATCTGGCTTACCCTGCCTATCACTTCCACCCCTCCTACCAATGCTTATGCTGTCAGGTGGAAACTGCATATTATGTTGCCTTACGTTACGTTACATTATTCTGTGGCAGCCAGGTAGGGGGGAAAAAAGGAAGATTGGTAGGTGAACCTTTAAATGTTGGGGTAGAGGGAGATAATCCATGTTCCTGACTGTCTGCATTGTTAGTTTTATATGTCGACAACACAGATTTAGAAGAGTAGGTTTGTTTTAAATGTGTGCTAGAGGGAATGCTGAGATTTTTAATCACCCCTTCCATTTTAGATTACCCACAGATTTACATCACAGCTTTCGATTGTCTTCAGTTTATTCTCATTATTTGCCTGACAGTGGAGTTCCAGAAGTAACCACTTGCCATTCCAGAAGTGCAGTGA